AGAACCTAGGAAGATGGAAGTTCAAGACGGAAGTTCATGTACCTGGGAAGATGGAAGTTCAAGACGAGTTTTTGTTACATACCCAGTTCTAAGACATTGTGGGCTGTGTGTCTTCAAGGAAAAAAAGAAGAGAAATGTTGTACACAAAAGGCCATGTGAGGACATAGTGAAGAAGGTCTCAGGAGAAACCAACCCTGCCAACCTTGGACATGCAGCATCTAGCGCTAGAAGCCGTTGCTTAAACTGCCCGTCCTGTGACATTTTGTTGAGTAACAAGAACAGTCTACCATGAGCATGAACAATAGTTAGGAGCAGAAAATATTTCTGCTTGCACTTACTTGTCCATGGGTTTCTGAACATTGCTTTATACTTAGAATCCTTATAATAATAACCTTTGCTTTAAGCAAACTCAAATTATCTTTAAATAACACATTGAAGTCTAGCTTAAAGTTCACCCCTGAAGTATAAACACTGTACCATATATGTGTTCAGTGCCCTAATAGACCAGAGGTTATCAGATCTCCTGGAATTGGAGTCACAGACAGCTGTTGGGTACCATGTGGGTGCAGAACTTGAATTTGGGTCTTCTGGAAGAAAAAGTCAATGCTCTTAACCACTGTGCCATCTCTCCACCCCTGAAAGTGTAAATACTTTAAATACTTTAAACTTACTTCCAATGAGAACCTAGGGCATATTTAATATAATTTCAGCCCTGAAGTTTCTCACTATGGATAAAGATATTTTTTTCCGATTAATTATGCATGCATATCTACATTCACACACACACACACACACACACACACACACACACACTTAATTACCCAGACGGGAATCGAACTCGGGACCTCGGATTCCCAATAATTATTGACACTGAGTAACAAGACACCTCTCAGGACAACTCATCTGCAGAATGAAAGCGTTTCTCCATACTAATCTTTATATTCTAAGGTAATATCCCACTGGCTTATTGGATTGGTATTATTACTTGCAGGGCAAAGGGATTATTGCCATCCTAACTTTTGTTATTTCTGGTACTGAGGTTCAAACCTAGAGCATGACAGTTACAACCTCGCCCCCTACTGGGCCTCTTGGGTTGTGGTTCCAAGTGCTGCTCCTTGTTTCTTTTCCCTCCTCCACTTTCCTCATCTCTTTCCACTGCTTCCTGACTATGACCTTCCCCTTGGCTGGCTGCTTGGTTTTAAGTGGGTCCATTCTGCAATGGCTGTCATGCAAAGACTATATACATACATACATATATATATATAATATATATATATTTATAATATATATAAAAAGGTGTCTGAGGCCCTGCTAGGAAAGTGCAGGGGCTTTCCTTGAGAAAGGTTCTCAGTTGGGTTAGTTTTCAGTTCATTAGTTCTTAAAGGTAGATCACTAGAGGGAAGGAAGGAAGGAAGGAGTCTGACAGCTGGGTTTGTGAATATCTGCTTATCTTTGATAAATGTGTGCGGGGGCGGGGGGGTAACTTAGGAACATTGGAAGTTCTTGCCTTTGTTTCTTTCATTTTTCTTAAGAGATATAACACAGTGCCAGGGTCAAGCTAGACAAGAAATCTACTACTAGGTGTTTAAAGACAATGTCTTCTGTGCACGGGACCTTTAGTCCCAGCACTTGGGAAGCAGAGGCAGGCAGAGTTCCAGGTCTATGTAATTAAGTTCCAAGGTCTAAAGGATGATTATATACAGCCAAGGCTATAGGGAGACCTTAGCTGTTGTTTTTTTTTGTTTTGTTTTGTTTGTTTTTTAAAAAGACAAAGTCTCACTATATACTAAGGTCACTATATAGCTCAGGTTGGTCCTCCAACTTGTGCTCCTCCTGAGTTCTGGGATTATAGTCATGTACCATTTTATCTATCAGAGAATATTTTTTATAAAGCATGAAGAAGACCCTGGGTGATACTGACCAGCTGAAAGGTTTCCCAAACCAAATAAAACAAATCATGCCAAATCCAAATTACAACACTTTATTGCAGCATCGGCAAAGGTCAGATTTCTGAAGCTGGTGAAGATTGGGCAGCATTTCCATGTGAAATGTTACAACTTTACAAGTTTTGTTTCTTATTGAAATCTACATGCAGAAACTGAAACATGGTAAAAGAAAGATGCAAAATAGAAAAAAAGATGTAATCAAGTTGTAGCATACAGATGTGTTCTTTAACTAAATTACTATGCCTATTGAAAGCAAATGAAAAATACCTATCCTAATAAATTAACAGACTGTCAGAAACAGACTAAGAACCCTCATTTCTATTTGGGGGGAGGGGAAGAAAACAAAATGAAACGAAAACAAAAGCAAAGTAAAAGCTCTACTTGTTTCCATATTTTGTTTAGACACAGAGGCTGTAAACCCATGAAGGTCAACAAAATACTCTGATCCACTTCTTGTTGTCCTTCGTTCTTCCATGACATGCTCACTGGCACGTTTTGTTTTCAATGATACTTACAATGGGCTCAACTATATCCCCGTTCTTAGGCTGGTATCAGACTTTTCTAAACCATCTGAATTAATGCTTTGCATATTAACAGTCTTCACATTTTCTTTCACTATAATAGGCAATTTTACATCACTGACTCTGATGGATAAAACAGGTTTTTCCTTTCTCATCCCTTGCTCCTCTTGAAACAAACTCCTTAACAAAACCCTTCCTGGTGGCTTATCTGGCATTTGTATATCTTTCATCATTTTGTTGTCCTGCATGTAAGTTTTTACTAGAAGATTTTACTGCTTGCTCTATACTTTTCTACTGTAGTCCTGGAGCCCCCAAATGTATCTTCTTCCAACATGGGATGTTCAATTCAGAGACACTGTAACTTAAATCAAGTTTAAAACTCAAGTTCATTTCCCCCATACCATTCCCATCTCAACCGTGTCTTCTCCGGCTCAGTCATCTCATTGACACTCTTCCTGGTGTAACTGCTCAGTAGTCAAGTGAACCTTCTCATTTCTTGACTGACATTCTCAAGAGAAGATTAACCCTCACGTGATTTCCATTACAAAAGGCCTTTCTGCCTTGTCTGGAAGCGTCGGCTTGTTCCGGTGTTGGCGGAGGCTGGTGTTTCTGCCTCATGGCCCCAGCCTGTCCCAGGTTTAGATTCGCAACTCTCTAGACCGACATGCTGAGATGTGTCCGCTGCTCTCATTCAATTGCTGGAGGACTCCACTATCCACAACATCAGATACAGGACCTAATGAAATGACACGTGCTGCTGGATCAACGTCTCCTAAAGGTACAAACAGGCTGACGTTAGAAACTTTACCACTGCAGGACAAAATTGGAGCAAGAAAGACTCAAGCACCAGCAATCACCATACATCAACTTCTCCTAGTAAATGCCTTTTGAAGATCACACATGTCTTCCATAGACCACACATGGCTCCTATACCTTTTCTGCAGCTAATTTCTGTCTCCCACACTTTTGATATGGTCATATGTAGCCCAACCTAGCCTTCTACTCACTATGTTGCTGATAATCATGAACTCGTGGTTTTCCTGTCTTCTGCTCCCAAGTCATAGTATTATAATAAGGCACATAACACCTTATGTGGCTCTCTACAACTAATTTCTAATATGCTAAGAAATCAGTTTATGAGTGGTTGACTTGTGTATCACCTAAATGCATAAGGAGAAGTCTAACCTATAAAACATGAGACTATAACCTTATTTGGAAAGCTGTTAACAGATGTGATCAGTTAAAATGTAGCCATGCATGCTGCAATAGGGTGAGCTCCAGACATGAGGACATTCTTATAAAATAAAGCATGGACACAGAGATGCACAGAAAGAACACTATGTGGACATAAAGACACAGACTACGGTGACACATCTGTAAGCCATGGACTGCCAGCAAGCTTCTGGAAGCTGAGAAGCCTAAATATGTTCTTTATAGCTCAGAGGAAATCAACCTTGCTGATTTCCTGGCCTCACATTTCCTGTCTCCAAAACTGAGACAACAAACTTCTGCTGCACTTCCTCATGACAGTTTGAATGAACTCCCACATTATGTTTTGCAAAAAACCTTCAAGGAATAAAATACATAAACATGGAGAAGTGTATCCTGAGTTGTATCTACCCACATGAAAAAAGCCAAAACAACAACAAAACAACCCCGGAACTGAACAAACTGAATGAGGGGGAAATCGATGCAACCATCCCCTGAAAGAAATAATTCAAAGATGCAAAGGTCTCTCCTGAAGTAAACACAAAGCAGTTGCCTAAAATGGAATTAAGTTCAACGGATGAGAGAAGAAAACGTTAAAAAGCTTTGTAAGACAGACTTCAGACTTAGTAGCATGTCACTTGATTAGCTTATAGGCAAAGAATCACCCTGAGTGACTGATGCTAAGAGCTGAAAAAAGTATTTCTAATGCACACTTGGGCTGTTATTCTAGGAGGTACACTATTTCATAAGTAAGTTCCTACATGGAGTATGGTGGAACAACATAATTCTAATCTCTGTACAGGAATTAGGAGAGTTGAAGGCCTTCCTGAGCTGCACATAGGGAGATTCTGTCTCAAAAAAACAAGAACAATGGTTTAGGGGTTTAACTCAATGGGAGAACACATGCCTAGCTGGGATAATTATCCAGCAATGTGTGTGTGAGAAGGGTATACAATAAAAGCTTAAGTCAGCTGTCCTAGCTGCTTGAAAAGATGAGATGGGAAAACTAAGCTTAAATGAACCTAGACAACACAGCAACACTATTATGAAAACATGAGTAGGCAAGATGCATTTCAGTAAATAACTGATGTGCGTCTGTAAAGTTTGAGCAGTGCTGGAATAATCCACATGAAACTGAAGCATTCACTTTCTTTTTTTTTTTTTTCAAGACAAGGTAGACCTTCTCTGTCCTGGAATTTATGTAGCCCAAGCTGGCCTCAAACTCACAGAGATCTGCCTACCTCGTGCTGGAATTAATGGTGTGCACCACCACTGCCCAGCATGCCTATATCTTTAAAGCATTTGTTATACTTTCTTTACAAAGGGCCTTTAAGAAGATTTTTTTGTGAATGTTTTACCTGTGTGTGCCTGATCTTGTGGAGATTAAAGGCGTCAGATCCCCTGAAACTGGAGTTACAGATGGTTCTAAGTTGCCACAACCAAACTCAAGTTCATGGAGAGAGCAGTAAGTACTCCTAACTACTGAGGAAAGTACTCCCCTGCCATATGCCACTTCTACCCTGCCCCTTTAGAGACAGGGTCTTTCTTATGTATCCCTGGCTGGTCTGGAACTTGCTATGATCAAGCAAGCCTTGTACTCACAGAAACAACACCTGTTTCTGCCCAATCAAGTACTAGGATAAGCATATGCCACCATGATAGGCTCAGAGAGCCATTCTTAAAGATGATGGATGTGTTGGCTAGTTTTATGTCAACTTGACATACAAACTAGCGTTATCTGAAATGAGAGAACCTTAATTGAGAAAATGCCTCATTAAAATGGAGCTGTAAGGCATTTTCTTAATGATTAATGGGGGAGGGCCCAGCTCATTGTGGGAGGTGTAATCCCTGGATTCTATAAGAAAGCAGGCTGAGCAAGCTATGAGAAACAAAACTGTAAACAGCACCTCCCATGGCTTCTGCATCAGCTCCTGCCTCCAGGATTCTATCCTGCTTGAGTTCCTGTCCTCACTTCCTTTTGTAATGAACAGCAATATGGAAGTGTAAGCCTAATAAACCCTTTTCCTCACCAACTTGTTTTTGGTCATGGTGTTTCGTTGCAACAACAGAAACCCTAACAAAACATGTTGGTACCAGTGTAGTGGGGTATTGCTGTGACTGACCTGACAATGGTTTGGGAGGCTTGTGGAAGGACTTTAGAACTTTGGACTAGAGATGCCTCTAAGTGTTGAGAGATAAGTGGGATGGACTGTGCGAGCTTGGAAGAATGCTGAGAGTAGTGCAGAGGATGGAGGCCTGGCTTGTGAAATTTCAGGGGGATATTTAAAGACTCAATCAGGGATATTTGCTTTAAGAAGTCTGTGGTTCTGCTTAGGGTGAGCTGGGATTAACAAGACAGCAGAACTGCTGAAGCGAAACCTTTGCTTTGCTGGGACATTCCATGCTGGTCAGCTGGAGCTGAGAAGTTAGCAGTGATTAAGAAGTAATCAGCTTCACTAAGGTGAAATCTGGGAAGTGTTTCTGCAGAGTCAGTACACAGAAGCTGTGTTCCACAGGTGGCCAAGGTTGTGCCTCGAGCTGGCAGTAGACTTGGTAGAGTTAAAAAGTCACCCAGGTGGTACTGGTTTTGATGGCATGAAGGGAGAGCAGCTGAGGCTTGGTACTCTGTTTCCTACTTCCTAGGAAATACTTCATATTTCAATAATTTTTTAAAATGACTAAGACGAGTGTTGTGGTGCACGCCTTTAATCCCAGCACTTGGGAGGCAAAAGCAGACATATCTGTGTTCAAGGTATGCCCAGTCACAATGAGCTCTAGGGCATCAAGGACTACAACCCTCCCCCCCCCAAACAAACAAACCCCAAAACAAAAACAACTAGTGCAGAATTAACTTTCAAGTACTCGTAAATACATTTTTTCATTAGACTTTAGTCTTGAGGGTATGGACACTGTTTTCTTCTACTTTTTGGCAACCCATCATATAAGAATGATAAAAAAGATATTATTTTAGTTGAGAGAGTCTTGGATATTGACAAGAACACCTGAGAAGTTAACCTACCAAATGAAAATGTCAATATTAAGTGTGAAAACATTCTAACAGTTCTGGTTTCTGATGATTTTATGAAAGTGACAGATATCAATACTACAGCATACACTTTAAGCTACTTTAAAGAAAATGAACAGGCAGAAAACTAATATTTTTCATTGCTTCTAATTTTTTTTTGAGCTATACATTTTTTTCCCGCTCCCCTCTCTTCCTCCCCTGTGCCCTTCTACTCTCTCCAGCGACCCCCATGCTCCTGATTTACTCAGGAGATCTTGTCTTTTTCTCCTTGCTATGTAGATACATGTATGCCTCTCTTAGGGTCTTGTCTAGGTGCTCTGGGGTTGTGGACTATAGGCTGGTTTTTCTTTGCTTTAAGTCTAAAAGCCACTTACGAGTGAGTATATATTATATTTGTCTTTCTGTGTCTGGGTTACCTCACTCAATATGTTTTTTTCTAAATCCATTCATTTGCCTGCAAATTTCAAGATATTAACGTAAAAAAAAATCAGTATCCCTCCTTTATACAGATGATACTGGGCTGAGAAGAAAATCAGAAAAACATCTGCCTTAACAATAGCCACAAATAATAAAATATCTTGGGATAACTCTAACCAAACAAGTGAAAGACCTATATGACAAGAACTTTAAATCTTTGAAGAAAGAAATAGATAAAGACACCAGAAAATGGAAAGATCTCCCATGCTCTTGGGTAGGTAGAATTAGCATAGTAAAAATGGCAATCTTAACAAAAGTAATCTACAGATTCAATGCAATTCCCATCAAAATCCCAGCAAAATTCTTCACAGACCTTGAAAGAACAATATTCAACTTCATATGCAAAAACAAAATATCCAGGGTAGCCAAAACCATTCTGTACAATAAAGGAACTTCTGGAGGCATCACAATCCCTGACTTCAAACTCTTAAAACTATTTTGTATGTTTAGCAGTGATGTAACAGGCTAATCCCAAATTCAATTTTTCACAAAAACATGAACAGGAACCCTTGTGAGGAGGAATCAAGTAAAGGCTGTTTACCTCCCACCAGTCTTAAAGATTAGATCTGCATTAGGTGCTCCCTTTGGATGTTGGTAACGAGGCCGCCGCTCACGATTGGTGTTTGCTGGAGCTGGGCGTTGTGCAAGAGACTGCAACATTTCTGTGATTAGGAGTAAAGAGAGAAATGCTGTTAACTCTTGTAAATATATGCTTCTACAAATGCACAAAAAACCAGGAGATCAAGTTCATTGGTGTTTATATGTAGGTAGCAACTTTCAAAAAACATTTAGGCTAATGATCATGAAGTATTGAAAGCATGAAAAGGTAAAGGAAGTAACAACCTTGATAGCTAGGATAACATACAGGGTTTTTTTTTCCCTCAGGCACTGTCCATCCTGTTTTTCAACATGGTCTCTTACTGGGACTTGGGCCTTGCCTATTACTTGAGGTTGGCTGGCCAGCAAGCCCCAGAGATCTGCCTCTCTAACATTGGGGTTACAAATATTAATCACCACACCTGTTTTGTTTTTTTTTTTTTAATGTGTGTGCTGGGAATTCCAACTCAAGCACTCATGCTTGCACAGTAAACACTATTTTTTTTTTTTTAAGATTTATTTACAGCCAGGTAGTGGCAATGCACGCCCTTAATCCCAGCTCTTGGGAGGCAGAGGCAAAGGGACAAGAGGATCTCTGTGAGTTTGAGTGCGTCACCACCGCCCGGCTGAGATAGAGTCTTATTTTGTAGCCCAGGCTGCCCTTAAATGTATGGTGACCCTCCTGCCTCAGTCTCCAGAGTGATGGCACTGGAAGTCTATGGGCTATAAATTATTTTATACCTTGATAATCTTCTTGCTCTTGTCGTTCATTGATATCTAATGTGAGCTTTTTCATTCTCATCCTCTCTTCTTGTTCTGCTTGTTGCTGGTTCCAATGATTTGCAGCAAGTTGGGACGACATGGGCACATTAAGAATTTTAAACTGGAGGAAAAATAACATTGGAATCACAAATAGCCTAATAAAATAGTTAAGAATTAAATATATTAGTTTAGAAAACAATACTGTCAGGCTGAACAGTGGTAGCACACACCTTTAAATCTGAGCACTTGGGAGGCAGCGGTAGGCAGATCTCTGTGAGTTTGGGGCTAGCCTGGTCTACAAAGTTAGTTCTAGGACAGCCAAGACTACACAAAGGAACCCTGTCTAAAAAAAACCAAAAACCAAACCAAAACAACCCAATCTATCCTTCACTATAAATCAGACTTTTCCAAAAGATACCTGAAGTGGAAGGCCACTAAGTTTGACTGAATTCATAAATTTCAGTTCTTTGGAAGCATACACCTAGAGACAGAGCAACTTTTCATCCTGCAGACCCCTCATGTGAACAACTTTCAAAAGGCTTTTATAGATCAAAATGAAAGGCACATTCCTTACATTTCTACTTGCCTCCCAAACTATATATGGCAAATCTACCCATCTTCAGCATTCTGAGCACTTCTCTGTTTCGAAGATGAGAATGAAGCATCTCATCCTGAGATCCTGTTCCCTTTTTTGGAATGCTTGTTCTAAGCAAGATGTTTCTAGCTTAGGAATGCATATGGCAGACAAACCTAGATAAAAATCTATAAATATAGCTCATGGCTCCCTGGGAAATTTTTTAAGTAAGCTATGCTAACCAGCAAGCATAAAACATTTAGGTGTCTCATAACCTAAATTCTCTGTTGCACTATCATAAGAGACCTCATCAATAACTCCAGATCAAAGGTGTGATCACTTACCGAGCTTCTGGAGCATGAGTCAGTAGGAGCAACAGTGGGGTGCTAAAGGTGTTGTTTTAAGCTGAATCATAACATGGCTGTATCTTAAAACTATATGCATATATATAATATAGTCTCAGGTTACAGTAAATTCTAATTATCCTAGTCAAAACATGTAACAAATTATAATTCTTTATGGGTATTGGTTACAAAACAATTGTTCGTCTTCCAGTATTAAGTTAAATATACTTTGCATTTTTTTAATTGATATTTATTGAACTCTCCTCCCCCATGGTCCCCATGCTCCCAATTTACTCAGGAGATCTTGTCTTTTTATACTTTCTACTTCCCATGTAGATTACATCTATGGAAGTCTCTCTTAGTGTCCTCATTGTTGTCTAAGTTCTCTGGGATTGTGGTTTGTAGGCTGGCTTGCTTTGCTTTATGTTTAAAAACCACTTCTGAGTGAATACATGTGATAATTGTCTTCCTGTGTCTGGGTTACCTCACTCAAAATAATGTTTTCTAGCTCCATCCATTTTCCTGCAAAATCCAAGCTGTCATTATTTTTTTCTGCTGTGTAGTACTCCATTGTGTAAATGTACCACTTTCTTATCCACTCTTCGGCCGAGGGGCATTTAGGTTGTTTCAGGTTCTGGCTATGACAAACAAAGCTGCTATGAACATAGTTAAGCACATGTCCTTGT